GCTTGCAATTCATTTCTCTATACATATCTGTTAGTTGAATTTTCAGTACACGTTGAAATTTTTCCTTATCTCTCATTCATTTATTTCAATTGTGAACAAGTGAATTCTTAACTCATTCAAAAGGTAATAACATTTAAAGTCATTATCACTTTCATTCTCATATTTTCTCAAATTTGGAAGGATAGGCCTCTTCTAGTGTATTTGACAGAGATTTTGAGAACTTCTTTACATTTTCACATAATAAGATGCTATACTATTTAACCACTAGGAAGAATGTATGCAATGTGTTAATTACTGAAACTGTCCTACCAATTTGATTTGAAAAAAAATGCTATACTTCTGTTTTGGGCTTTTTCTATATTTGCCCTCTAAAGAAACTTGTACTTAAAAAAAAGAAAGAAAAGAAGAAGAAACTTGTACCTTTTAGCAAGAAATGACATTTAGAAATAAAATCTGGACATGAAGAGAATTTTCATTAAACAATCATTTTTCTGATCTAACATCATAGACAACTTCTTATCCAATTGAGAACAAATAGTACTTCCCTGTAAAAGCTAGTGATCTTCTTTATGACAGTATATTCAGCCTCTATTATGTGACAATTACACCTGTGAGTAATGAGGGTGTAGTTACACAGAACTAAAGGGGTGAGCAGTGATCATCTGACTCCTAGGCCAGCCCTTGACTGCTCTAATCTTGGAAAAACAATGAAAAAGTAGAACTATTCTTAACTAATCTCAGGCCTATCCTTTCTTTGTATATTTCTTTGCATCAGGGAGAGGAAAGGCATTCTGGGTGTAGAATTAGAAAGGCTAATGGGATCATATCTGGGTGTAGACAAATCATAAAAGTGTTATTGAAGCTTTGTATATACAATTGGCTTTGAAAAGTGAAGGAGGTGGTTCCTTCTGAATTTCCTTATCATTTATTTTTTAATGGGTGAAAAAGAACAGTTTGGGCAGGACTGTGAGCAGCCAATGTGCTCAAGCACAGCAAAGTGACTGTTCTCTGGCTCAGGAATATATCTGCACATGCTCAAAAAGTAGAGTACCCAGTGCAGATAATTGCCTATATCCCCGCATTTAAAGAAAGTCTTGAGAAGAAAAGGGAAGCAAATTATTTTCTGTCTCACAAACTAGTCCTCATTCTGATCCATATTTGTGGAGCTTTAGGAAAGTGAAGAAAGGGCCAGAGAACTGAGAAACACTAGAAACATCTGGTTAGTTGATCATTCTCTCACTTCCATTTTTCTTATTAATTAAACAATAATTGAAAGGTTGGCCAGATAGCTCAGCGGACTAAAGTGCCTGCTTAGGCAGGCACAGGGACCGGGCTTTGATCCCCAGCATGCTGTGCCAGCCCCAGCCCCACTGAGAAGGGGACTGAGACTGGGTGTGGTGACACATACCTGTGATTCCAGCTCTTGGTAGGCTGAAAATAGGAGTTTCACTATGAGTCCGATCTGTGTAGTGGCACCCTGTACACTTTGTACTAAATACATTTTTAAAAAAAAACAATAATTGAGCCCAAGATAACTTATAGACCACACAGATACAGTTACTGCTGAGGGAGACAAAATGATATACTTGAGGGACAGTGATTTATAGAGGGTTTGCATCTCCTTGCAAGATGACAACTGTAAAAATCCAAACCTTGGTGATAATTTATGGTAGCCAGATCTCCAAATCCTGAAGGTACAAATAAAACTTGAGGATCCTCTCCTTGCCAGTGGGACCAACCCAGAGCTTGTGCATACTACAGCTGCCAAAGTGAATAGACCCACAATATCCTTAATTTACTCTCATGAGCCATGAAAATTCCCTCGGAAGCTTGAATATTAATCCTTTTGATTAAGTTAGAGCTGTGATATCAGTGACTGTGAGCTAGGAGACATTCATTGTTTTTCTGGTATTTACAAATAAAAGGCATCTAACTGAGGCCAAGAAGATTAAGAGATCCTTTTGTACTAGATATGTTGACCTGCTCAGGGTATCCAAGGGAAACTTTTGCAGGTGAAGTCTCAAGGTTAAAGAATACGTGCATGCAAACATCAAGAACAACAGCAGGCAGTGTGGAGCAGAGGAGAGAACCAAAGAAAGACAAATATAATTCTTATACAGGTTGTTATCTCATATTTACATTTTTACATAGTGCTGTAGCCAGCACATGCGTGTTTACCTGTGCTGAGTCATGATTACATAACTATATCTATATATATGTCTTTCCATTTTCTGATATCTTCTTCAATCTCCCTTATCAGAGTACTGTAGAGATTGATTCATGGGTATTTCATTCTTTGTATGGTATTGTGAAAGGTGCTGTTTCCCTAGTTTCTCCCTCAGTGAGTTTGTTGACTGTGTACACAGCAGAACTAGTACTATGCCTCTGTGTTAGTAGCCATTGAACAGTGTGTCCCCATATTTCCCTCTCCTCTCATCCTCTGTACCACCACTCTACTTTCACCTTCTGTAACAGCTCCTTTTCAATATTCCACAGGTAAATGAGATTCGGTGACACTTGTCTTTAATATAATGACCTTCAGTTCCATCCAGATTGTTGCAAGTAACAGGCTTCTTTCCTATTCATGTCTGAGTGTTATTCTGTTGCACATATTTACCACACTGTTGTTATATGCTTTTATTCTTACATGAGTTGATGGAGACTTAAGTCATTTCCATTTCTGGATGATTGTGCATACTGCTGCAATGAATATGGGGATGTCTCTAAGTCTTACCAGTTATTTCCATTCAGATTTATATCTAGTGATTGAAATTTAGGGTTGTGTGTTAATTCTATCATTAATACTTGGAGGAAACTCTGCAATGTCTTTCATAATGATTGTGCTCCTATATATTCCCACCAACAATGTGTAAAGGTTTTCTCTTCTCCAAATCTTCATCATCTTTTATCTTCTTGATTATATCCATTCTTACTATAGTAAAGTGATATCTTACTTGTTTTTATTTTCATTTCCCTTATGTAAATGATATTGGACACTTATGTATATTTTCTGAATAAGTGTACATGTAACAAAATTGATCATGTTTACTTGATTATTTGTTTTCTCTTTTTATTTTTAGACATTGCAGGGGTTTACAGACACTGTGTATGCACTGACATTATGTTTTATAGATCGAAAGTGTCAGTGTGAATCACCCGTCAGAGGGGGATTTAATGAGTCTACTAATCAGCAGAATTCTGTCTCAGGTCCATGTAGTTATTTTCCCCTTCTTTCTTTTCTTCTCTTTCCCTTTTTCTCTTCCCCTTTTTTTTTCTTCCTTCCTTTCTTCTTTTATTTCTCCCCCCACTTTCTATACCAGGGATTGAACCCAGGATATATGTATTGAGCTTTATCCCTACTATTATTTTATTTTTTATTTTAAGACAAGCTGTCACTATGTTGCCAAATTGCCCAGGCTAAATTTAAACTTGCTATCCTCCTGCCTTAGCCTCACAGTGTGCTATGGCTATAAGTGTGAACCGCTATATCCAAATAATTTCAGGACTTTTAATGTGAAATCTGCTCTCATCTAGAAATCACTATTGCCTTGTAGATCATGTATTCTTTCTGGGTGCTTGCAATATTTGTACTTTGTTATCATTTTTAGCATCTTAGTTATGATCATATTTGATATGAAATTTGCCAAGGTGATTCCACAAAGGATCATCAAGGGGTTCTGAATTTGGATGTTAATCTCTTTCAACAAATTTGAAGAATGTTTACATACTCTTTAAGCAAATCTGGTGCCCTTTTAATGTCCTAAGTTCAATCCCCAGTATTGCAAAAAAAACCAAAATGCATTTAAATAATTTGCAACTCACAAACTCTAGAAAGATGAAATTCTACTTGCTATGTCTTTTAGTTACACACTTTTAGTATAGGCAACTAATCTTTTAGTTACTTTGCATTTCTAAAGAGGCTAACAAAGTAACCATAATAAATTAAATATAATATCATATTTCATGTGAAAATACTGGTCTCTATAGTACTTGATGTTAATTATAGATAGAGGGTCAGGGAGACAGCTCAGTGGCTTAAGTGCTAGAACTTAAATGATGTCATCAGGTAGCAGTACAGTTCACACTTGCTTCTCCTTCTATATGTTTAAATAAAAACCCTCTGATGTATAGTGACCTAAGAATGTTTTTATATAACAAAGTGCCCTTTCTTACTAGATATTTATGTTTCTTTTTAAAATAACACCACAATCTATATTTTCCGTACTGTGTGTCTTACATAAGTAAGTATATTTACAGAACCATGTCTTTGAAGAGATTCTTGGGCCAAAGTGTGAATATGTAAATAAATTTTACATAATCTCTCAAATTGATTTTTTATTTCTGAATAGTATAATTTATTTATTTTTAAATTAAACTGATGAGCATACATTGACCGTACAAATTATTGTATCACAGTGATATTTCTAAACACAAGACATCACACTTTGATCATGTCACTTCTACCTTCTTTGTACCAGTGGTATTGGAGTAGAAGAGTCCACGGACTGGAGAAATAGCTCAGTAGAATAAGCGCTTCCCTGGCAAGCAAAAGGGCCTGAGTTCAATCCCTGGTTCCGCAAAAAAGAAAAGAAAAGAAAAGAAAAAAGAAAAAAAGTCATTTCTTAGGCTCCATGTTAGCTGTTTTCTGTAGAAATACAGTCTGTGGAGTGAAAAGATAGCTGAATATTCTTCTGTGACTTCTGCATCAGCTTGGAACTGTTACTTGATATGTATCTTGATATGAGAATATCAAGCTGTATCTTGATATGAGAATATAATTTGGGGACCAGGGAGATGGCTCAGTGGAATAAGTGCTTCCCTGGCAAGTGCAAGGGCCTGAGTTTAATCCCTGGTTCCGCCAAGAAAAAAAAAGAATATAACTTGACTTTATTATCTACTTATAGCTGATTTTTATTACATACTGCATAATAAAACTCATAGTTACTTGAAACTTACCTAAGAAAGGATCAAGAAATAGATCCCTCTATGACTGTTGTCTCCTACAGAGCTTTCCAGCATTCAGTCAGATGTCTATCTCTGTGAATCAGCACAAATGGGCTGACAATTGCATAACCAAGGGTCATAAAGTTCCGAATATTTAATAATACAGCATTATTCTCCATGAAAGTATTAATAAATAGAGAAAAAATACAGTCTATCCAATAAAAGAAAACAAAACAAAGCATTAGAAGGAAAACACTTTCAGCAGCTTTGATCTCAGGAGGAGTTTTGTAGAGGGACCTGGAGATGTGTAGGCAGTGAACACGCTGGTGGTGCCTATGGAGAAGAAACAAGTAGCCACTGGCCCCGCCCATGATACTCAGAAACATGACATCTCGTATTACCATGATAGCAAGAAATGTCCATTTTATTTTCTGATTTTCTGGTCGAAAATGACAAGTGGTGTCACTCATAGTCCCTTTTGATATGTTCATGCTTATACTTGTGATATAAAGGAGTAAGTTCATGCCTATTGAGGAATTGAGAACCCAAAAGAAAAGCAACAAGAGAAGGAGGTGCCATGAAGACCTGGGCTGGAGTCTCCTCCAATTAGAGTGTCGAGGACTGATGGTGATGGCCTGGACCACAGTGAGGAGACTGCTGGTACAGATGGAGAGGCCCGGGGCCACCCTCTCCAGATAAGCAAAGATTTTACAGCCCATGTCACTTAGGAAGTTTCTCATACCAAAAGCTGCTATTGTACTTGGCATTCCCATGGAAAGAAGAGTTATGATATTCGTAACAGCCAAATGGATGAGAATAAGGTATATAGATTTCTTTTCAGTGTTTGCAAATATGAGCATATAATTCACAAAAACAAAGATGTTCCCCATCATGCCAAGCCCAGTTAGAAAGGCTAAGATTGTTCCCTTCATAAAGTTAGATAACATTTCTTACTTCGTAGGCAATTTTTTGAAGGAAGTATCAGTAATGATGACATTTATATGTCTGTAAAACATTCTTTGTGTTATAGCAATTTTGTAGAGTGTAAGAGACAGTCATGCTGTGTAATGATGCAGATCTTTATCCAAAAGACATGTGCCTTTTACTGTGGCACTTCTGTGGGTTATTCCATATATTCTTAAATGCAAATTTTTCACAGAAGAATTTATGTCAAACTATGTACTCTACTTCCAACATAATACTACAGGAATATTTAGATTACTTTGCACTGAATGCCTCTGAGAACATAAATTACATAAAATTAGCTTTATCCCCAGGATTGACTTTAGCTGGCATAATGGCTATAGGAATACTTTGTCTGACAAGTAGAAAGTTATCAGCTATAGCAAAGCAGCACAAAAACAGGGCATCTGCTAACTATCCAACACATTATGAAATATGCTACAAGATTTGTTTAGCTCAGTATTATTACTGACTAATAAATCTGGAATGAAAATTGATTGTTTAGTCAGAGATAAATTTGTTTTAAAAAAATCATTGCACTTAATACATCTAAATATCTTGAAGGGGTATTTGAATACTTCCTGTTTGCTTTTGTTTCTGTTTCTGCTGTCTTTGCTCTAGCCTTCTCTTCCTTTCCTCAAATTCCAAACCTCTGAATCAGAGCAGTTCTGAGACATTCAGTAAGTGACTTCCTTTTGTCTGATTGAAGTTAAAATGTCAGAGGAGAAAGAAGTGACTTCTCCAGCATGACTTGGGAATGTTTTTGATAAACTATTTTTAAAGACAAGATGTATCTGATTGTAATAAGTACACTTTAGAAAGGTTAGAGCATTCATCTCACACTCAATTTTCTCCAGCAAAAGAATGAAATTAATGTTCTTTGCTTCATAACACTAGGATAAAATTAAAATGAATTTTTCATGTTATAATAACTCATGGCCTGGGAATTCCATGGTAAGAATTCTCCAAAGAACAGCTATAATTTTTATTCTTAATAATTGGTAATGGTTACCCTATTAGGCAGATAAATAATAAAATAGGTTGACTGGCACATATTTTGTATTAGCATAAGGAGGCTTATGGATATATGCAGAGATTAAACAAGACCATAACACACTTGTGGAGTACAGAGCAGAATGAAGAATTACAAAGTTAACAATACAGAAATACACCAAAATGAAACACTCGATTTTTGTAGAAAGCTGTGATGCTGACAGAATCCTACTGCAAGGGAAACCTGAAAAGAAGAAAAAAGAATATTTTATGAGACTTGAGGGCTTCAGTATCTTTCCGATTGCTCAATGCAAGCAAGCAGGGAAATCCCCACCCTGGAGCTCTCTGCTGCTATCAGATTCCAGACACAGGCACGGAGATGGCTTGGTATGTCTGAAGTAATGATTCTTTTTTTTATTTTTTAATTCAATTTTATTTTATTTTGAAGAGTATGGAGTAATGATTCCTGAAACTAGTGTCTTCTTTTTACCTGAGGTGCTTGCATTTTAAAGATCAGAGAAAGACTGAGAATCCTAAGGCTCACAGACCTTCTGATCTACTTCTTGCTTAGTCAAAGACAGTTAAGTTTTATATTTCTGAGGGAAAATTTGAAGACAACATCAAGTTGTCTTCAAATGAGGCTTGTGAGGTCTACTCACTTGGGCAAGTATGGTGCAGTCAACTCCTTGATTAGACTTCCGGGCAAGATAAGACTCCCCAGGTCATAGTTATATATGCAGGGTTTGTTGATCTCTTGGCTACCATGATTTCTCACCTGGATTTTACCGTTCAATATTGTCATCCTGTCAGGGAGAAGGAAAACCTCTGCAGAACCTCAGTCCCTAATGTACTCTTCCTGTCCCCACAATTACTGTCTTTGACTCAGAAGTTCTCTTAGGCTCAACTGAGGCTTAATTATCTTAAGAGAAGACTGTGCAATGGGAAATGCACAGCTAGACAAGTTACTGTTATCGAGGGATCTCTGCTTTTCAGATCTTCCCTTCAATTTCTAAAGTTCAAAGCCATGACTCAAAATAGGGAGCAGCTTCTCAAACACAGAACAAATCATCTTTTCTCTCCTTTTTAAGGAATTGAGGAGTGATGATTATTCTGGTTTTGGAACACAACCCAGCCAGGCACATGGGCAGGATGAAAGTCATCTGGCTCTGTCAGTCTATGAAAATTGGCAGATTATGGTCTTCATGATAAGTCTCTGGAATTTTTAATGTCCATGAATACTCCATGTGAAATGAATCTCCAACCAGATGGACGGCTGCTTTTAGTTGACCAGTCTTGCCCTGTGTAACCTGTATCTACACACAGAGAAGTGAACCTGTTATCTCATACTTACTAAAATTGCTGCCCCATACATGAGAGAAAAATCTTCTGAAACAAGTTCATTTTTCTCTGAGGGCTTAAACAAGGAAATCAAAGCAGAGTTACATGAGTATGTTGTCAAAGTGTATACAAAGATAAATAGAACTCTAGGTATAAAATGTTCCTCTGGAGCAAAAAAAATAATGCATTTAGCTTGTCTTTGCTTTTTGTGCATTTTTGTAGATATGGGACATTTTGCAGCTTTCTTTGCTAAATTACATATTTGCAATTTTACACCCTGGGAATGTTTTCTCAGGGCACTGGAGCCCTCCTTTGAAATGTGCTCACCCAGGGACATCATTCTCTACCTTTATGTTTTCACAGCATTGGGTGTAGCATCTGATCAGTGTTCTGACTACTTCTTTCAGATATCCTGTGGAGAGGTATAATGGGAGTAAATAGAAGCTCTTTCCTGAATTCTAGAGCAGCTCTACTAATTCAGATTCCCAACAACAGGTTACAGGGCTTCCTTTTCCTCTCAGGCAACCTAACCAGCATTTGTTGGTTATTCTTGGTAGTTTCCATTCTGACTAGGGTGTGATGGCAACTCAGTGAAGTTTGGATTTACATGCCTCTTATGATGAAAATACTTAATTTTTCATACTTTTATTGGCTATTTCTATTTCTTTTGAGAATTGTCTCTTCAGTTTGTCTATCTATTGTTTGAGGGCAGGGGAGTTGATGTTTTTTGTTGAGCTGTGTATATAATCTGAATATTAATCCTCTCTCAGAAGAGAAATTAGCATAAGTCTTGATTTCTATTGACTGATGCTTCACTCTGTTAATTGGTCTTTGGTATGTAGAAGTTTTCTAAATTTAATGCAATGAAGCTTTGTCAATGCTTGCTTTAATTTCTTGAACTTTGAATTTTATTGAAGAAATTACAACCTGAGCATACAGCCTGAAGTGCTTCCCCTAAGTTTCTTCTAGCAATTTTAACATTTCAGAGCTTTTCAGTGTTAAGTAGTATAAGATCCTTCTGGTATTAAGTAATATTTGAAAGTATGGTTTAAAAGAAAGTAGGACATAAGATTGCTGGAAGGCATATAGTATTACATTATAGCAGAGTGCTTTTAAGAAAATTTTTTTCATGGAATGTGTCACCAATCTCAAGAAGCATTGTGAGTTTCCTGCTAAACAGAAGGTAAGAAAATTTAAAACATTTGTGTCACTGGTTATACTCAAATGTTTGTTCTAAAACTTGTGGAAGGGCCAGGGAGATGGCTCAGTGCAATAAGTGCTTCCCTGGCAAGTGCAAGGGACTGAGTTCAATCCCTGGTTACGCAAAAAAATAAATAAATAAAATAAAACTTGTGGAAAATTAGAATTTTGATTTATACTTTGTGTTGATAACTTAAACCTTATACTTCTAAGATAGTGTATGTCAATTACTAGACCAAATATATTGTGGTGAATTAAAATTAGTGTTCATTGTTTTCTCTAATTAGATGACTTAACAATGCATAGATTTGAAGGTTTAGAAGAAATAATTTTGTTATTATTATTTTTTTTTTTGGCAGAACAGGGGATTGAACTCAGGCCCTTGCACTTACCAGGCAATCATTTATTCTACTGAGCCATCTCACCAGCCCCTGAACAAATAATTTTGTAATAATTTTGGCTCTTAAGTCTAACAAGTAGTTTGGTATTGCCACATTTGCTTGTCCTGATATAAGAAAGTCAAAGGAAGAAACAATACCAGGAAAAACTGTAGGCCTTTAAAAATATATGTAAGATTTATTTTAAACCATAATTATTCTCAGAACTTCTTGGGAATTTCTAGCCTTTTTTTGTCAGTTAAGAATGAGAGCCATTGCGTTTTGATTCCTAAAGGCAAATTTAATATAAAGCAGGTAGTGCTAAATCCATAGCAAAAGTTTTCTATTAAATTTCATATTCTTTTAAATGGCTAAAATTTTTCAAATAGCTACATTTTTTTTCAAATAGATACATTTATGTCCTAAATGTATCTGGGGGAGGGTTGAACAGTAGACTTATAATTTTAATCATTTTTAAATTAAGTATACAAATGTTTAACTATTTTTTGGTGCTTATGAAAATCATTGTATTGACATGGTACCTATACCATTGTTGAAATTTCTTTAACTATATCTTAACATGTGTTTGCTAATTTGAAAAAGAAGTTTGATTTATTTCACTTAAAAGTATGATCTCAAAGTCTATCCATTTTCAAGTTTACCTTTCTCTATGGCTGAGTACTCCATTATATATTTTAAAAACCACATCTTTTTTTTCGGTACCAGGGATCAAACTCAGGATTTTTTAAAATAATTTTATTGCGAAACAAATAGCAATGAGACAGTTTCAGAACCAATTAGTAGGAGAGTTTCAATAATTAATACATTGCATATTGTTATCTTCTTAGTGGTTATTCATAGTATAAGATGCTGACATGATATCCTGTCCAAACACTATTAGTATAAATCTTTCTTCTCATTGAATTAAGAGAAAGTAGCTGTATATGTATCCTAACTATTTTGGGTTGGTTTTTTTTTTTTTTTTTTCATTTTTGTTTTGGCTTTTAGTTCAACCAAAATTTAAAAGATTTATAGAAAACAGTTTCATGGGACTAGGGGACAGAAGTGTCATAGTT